CTCCGCCCCCGCGCCAGCCAGCGGCCCAGTCGCCCCCTTCACTGCAGCGCGCCGCAGCCCCCCGACTTCTCCCCGCCAACTACCCGGCTCCTTTGTTGCTCTAGCTCGTTCGGCTCTCTGGAATGCACGGGCCTCGCCGAGCCAAGCCGCCCCCCCCCACCTCCGCCACGGCTGGGGGAGGGACTGGCCCAGGGAGGGAAGGGGAGGGGAGGGATACGAGAAAGGAGGAGCTCCAGCTTCAGCGTCCCGGGTGCCCGAGGGGCCCGGGCCAGGGGGCTATGGTCACCCGCAGCCGCCCGGGGGCAAGAGATGGGTGGAAATCTTGGCCAGGAGCTGCAACAGGACTCAGCGGGCACCTTGACTGCCCAGAGAATCTTTCGACTTGGTCTATAGGCAGTGGGATCTTCTGGTTGACGGTGGGAGAGACAGGGTGCCTGAAGTCAGCTGAAGCCTCTACTGCATCCCGCCGTGCTCCCCCAACCCGCCAGTCTTTTCCGCTTTTGGTTAAATCTTTCAACTTGTCCTAGAGCCTCATGGAGAAGAACCAGGGTTTGGGGTTCCCAATTGTCCAAATCCTTCCAGCTTGGAACCTGTGAGAGAGATGACCTCAGAGTCACTCAAGGCAGCTGCCCCGGCTTGCTGTTACCTCTGGGAGCAGATGTCTGGAAACCAAAAGTGCCAGCATTAAGCCTTTATTGCTACAAATGTGTGAAATCTGAACTGTGGTTGCCAGTGGCTGGCCCTGTCTTGTCTTTGATTGTGTCCAAAGGAAGCCATTCCCTCTTTGATGGCCCTTTGCTGCTTATATGCTGGCTGAGAAAGTTCCTGCTGCTCTCCTCCCCCTACTCGGCTTATTCTGGCTTTTCTCAATCCTTTGCTTGTCAACTTTCAGTTCACCGAATTTGATTTCACCCTGCAGCAGTTTACTCCTCTAAATAACCAGGGGTCCAGCCAGGAGAGTGGACTTGCACTGAGCAACTTTTCCATGTTGCTGAGGGGCATTGCTCTAGGGTGGCTTTTCCTTTCTTACCAATGCCCATACCCTTCATTCGTAGCTCAAGGGAACCCATTCTGTTAGGTGTGGCCATTTTGGAGCAAATTAGCTACTGCACTTCAGCTACCATCCTCAAGTCTTACGTAAGCCCCAGAGACAGAGAGAGTGAGGGAGACATACACACACACACACAGAGGATTAATTTGATATAGCAAGCCTTTCTGAAATCCTGGGATGTATGTAGCACTGTGATAGGCATGACATCCTTGAAAACTTGATTTTTACTGTGGAGACAAGGCTTGCCCTCAAGAAACAGTAATATATTATGACAAAGCAACCAAGTTCCCTCCTAAGGGCAAGGATCTTATTCTGTTTTCTGTATCCACAAAGCATCCAGTGCAGTGAGATATGCATATTAATCACTCAGTAAATGAGCTGCAGACAGAAATGAGGTGTACAGTGAATGTGCTATAGGAATTTGTACCAGGGAAAGGTCAGTGCAGATAGCAGTGGAGGAGGTGGGATTTGAATCCAGCCCTGAAGTATGAGTAGGAGGAGTGAGAAAAGTAGAGAGGAGCTGAGCTGGCATTACTATGGAGGAAACTAGGACCATAGCTCAGAGCATGACTGGCCTAGCAAGAAGGACATTATAGGGGATGAGTAGGGAAATTGATTGGTAAGACACCTCAAATGACATACAGAGGAATTAAGGTTTCTTTCTATTAGAAATAGGAAACAGTGCAAACTTTTGATCAGAGGAGTGATATGTTAAAGAACATTAATCAGGCAAAGTGAGGATGGTATGAAGGGCAAGAGGCTGAAGGCAAGGGAACATCTTAAGCGATGTCGCTGGTGATTTACGGAAGAAGTGGAAATATTCTATGTTATCTGGATATAATACTCTCACTGGAAAAACAGTTTAAAACATTATGACCTACCTCAGCTATTTTTTTCTGTGATATAAATAAAATGGCAGTTATGTCTAAGTCTGAGCCACAGAGAAGTTTGCCTGTTACCACATTGATGCTCTGCTTTGGGAACTTTCTCCATTTATTTTCTATCTGGTTGATACAGTGGCAGCTTTGAAGCCCTGTGGGATTGTTTCAGTATTCTATGCATTAGGGAGAAACCTACACGTGTGCTAAGGCAGCCCCTTACCTGTCTGCCTAAAATTATTAGCAATTCTTCAAGTATGAAGGCTCTACCAACCTTTGTCTGGGATTTCTTGGGAGGCATGTGGAAAAATCAATCATTGTTATACAGTACCTTTATTCTGGAGATAGAAGAGGGTGAATTGAGAAGATCCTATGGTGTTGCCTTCCATTCAGAATGTTCTTCCCTTCAAGAGGAGGGAGAAGATGTGCTCATTTCTCAACTCCCTGAGACTCACTCTTCAGGAAGTGGAGATTCAGGAATCCTGCCAGAGAGCAGGTTCCAGGGAAGAAGGAACGTGTTCAGTGAGGACTAGGGAAGAGAGGATTTCCTGGTGGTTCCTGAGTGGCATTCAAGGCCCTGGAGGAAGCTCATCCATCCCCTCCTTCAGGTACACCAAGACTTCCAGTGTAGAGTTTAGAGACTCCTCAGAGTGATTTGACACACTGCTGGTCTCCAGCCTCATGATGGCAGGGTGCAAAGCACTCCTCTCCTGAGCCTGAGCCACCCCTGACCCAGTTCCGCCAGAGTCTTGACCCCATCTACATGTCATAACACAATCCTTTTGTCAGGTCTAAGAGAAGCTATCTTGTGTGACAATGCATTACAGTACTTGATTTGCTACAAGTAGCTTCTTGATTTCTGAGTAATTCTCATCAACTATTTTGGCATTTTGAGGTCACACATTCAACGTTGACTGTTTGTTCCTTGCCTCTGGGCCCTCTACTTGAAAAGAATGAATAGGAAAGTATCTATGGGATATTCATGGGTATCCTTGAGAACTTGATTGCTCCTTAGGGTTCAGTTGTCACACTGGCCAGAGTCTGGAACACAATTGTTGGCAATACTCCAGTTCTTTCTGTCTTCCAGTGTTTCTTATTTTACAATTAAGAGCATCAAGGCAGAAGGAAAGGACGAAATGGGAAAGGGGCTAGATAAGCTACCTTCTCAGAGAGGTAGCACAATAGATTTGGAGTTAGAGACCTGAGTTGGGCCTTACTGGCCAAGGACCTTTGAACAACTTAGTCTAAGCCCTGATTTCTTTCTTTATAAAAATGAGATGTTATCAGCTGTGTTTCAATACACCAGCAATGAACATTCTGAAAAGGAAACTAAGATGGCAATTCCATTTACAGAGCATCTAAAAGAATTAAATACTTAAGAATAAATCTAACCTAGGAGGTGAAAGACCTGTATACTGAAAACTACAAAATGTTGCTGAAAGAAATTAAAGAAGACCTAATAAATGGGAAGATATTCTGTGTTCATGGATAGAAAGACTTAACAGTGTTAAGATGTCAATACTACCCAAAGCAACCTATAAATTTACCACAATCCCTGTCAAAATTCCAACAGCCTTTTTCACAGAAATGGAAAAGCTGATCCTCAAACACATACAGAAATACAAAAGGCCCTGAAGAGTCAAAACAATCTTGAAAAAGACTAATAAAATTAGAGGGTTTACACTTCCCAATTTTGAAACTTACTACAAATCTGCAGTAATTAAAACACTATGATACTGGCATAAAGATAGACATATAGGCCAAAAGAATAGAATAGAGAGCCTAAAAACAAACCTTCACTATATGGCCAATTGATTTTCTAGAAGGGTGCCAAGACCATTCAATGGGGAAATGACAGTCTTTTCAACAAGAAGTGTTGGGAAAATTGAGTATTTGTATGCAAAAGAAGGAAGTTGTACCCTTACCTTACACAACAAGCAAAAATTAAGTCAAAATGGATCAAAGACCTAAGTTTAATAGCTAAAACTACAAAAATCATTGAAGAAAACCACAGAAAATCTGCCTGACATTGGATTTAGCAATAATTTCAAGGATATGACACCCAAATTATAGGCAATAAAAGAAAATATAGATAAATGGGACTTCATCAAATTAAGAACTTTTGTGCATTAACAGATACTATCAATAAAGCAAAAAGACAATCTATAGAATGGGAGAGAATATTTGTAAATCATATATCTTATAAGGGATTCAGGGGTCCAGAGTATGTAAAGAATTCCTAAAACTCAACAACAGCAACAATAGAACAACCCAGTTACTAAGGGCCAAAGACTTAAATAGACATTTCTCCAAAGAAGTTATACAAATGGCCAATAAGCACATGAAAATGTGCTCAACATCATTAGTCATTAGGAAAATGTAAATCAAAACCACAATGAGATACTGCCTCCCAACCACTAGGATGGCTATTAAAAAAATAATAAAAACAAAGAAACACACACAGAAAATAACAGGTGTTGCCAAAGACACAGAGAGATTGGAATCCTTGTGCATTGCTGGTGGGAATGTAAA